TATAATCGATCCCAAAACACTACTCGAATAATGAAGGCCCCCATATTCTTTTACTGGGCCACGGGAAGCCTGGAGGTCTTAGGCAGAAGCATTTGCGAGTGGAGCCATGTGCAAAGCTCCTGTTTCTTTGGCCTTATAGTCTTTGGCCTTACAGATTAGGGGTTTAGGGTTTAGAGTTTAGGGTTTTATGGCATAGCGTCAATGTAAACGGTAGGCTTCCAAGATTTCATAAAGGCATCTGCAGTTGGAAAGGGCCTGCCCAAAGAGCTATAGGCTATAAGCTATAACCCGAAACCTCGCAGTACCCCTGAACCCCTCAAATCCTCCCCACTTGGCTCCTTGAACCCGGTAGAGGCGACGGAGATAAATCGCAGTGGGACTGGGCGAAGAAAAGCGTGCTGCAAAGGATTAGGGTTTAGGGTTTGGGATTGGTGGGCACAGAGTTGAAACTGAGACTCAAATTTCAGTTTCTGGGAACTACGGATGAACTTGGTGTTACCCTATTATAAGGAAGTGCAGTATCTGTATTCTGCAACTGCTTCTTGTCGAAGAAGGACTAATTCGCTGCATCTTTCATGGGATGATACTGTACAAGCTTTAGGGTCTCGCGTATCAGGATTTAGGATTTAGAGGAACGGTGCTGGTAAAGATTCTGCTGCAGAGTTTATGTTCAGGACCTATCTTGAGGCTTGAAGGTATAAAGCATTCGTGTTTAGGGCGCTTGGGTTTAAGGTTTGGTGGCGGGTGTAATGCGCAAGATTTTTGCTGCAGAATTGGTGTGTAGGATCGATTATGCTTGAGGCTTCAAGTTGCTTATGAACAACATGCGGTGTACTCGAGTCTTCGGTAGTACGGACTATCGAAGATGTGGCTAAAATTATCATCTAGTTCTTGTCGGTCCTGTGAGGCCGTGCATGTGTCCTTGTTGTGCATTGCGTTTGCGTTTACTACATGCGGACCTAAGTGACAATTGCTGTTCGCCAGTCTGTCATGCTGAAGAAGCACCTCTTCCTCCAATCGGCGGTGAGGCACGACTTTGGAGACCTGCCGCTGGCTTGTCCCGAAGCCTAAACCCTATAATCCATATGCCCCACCCCAGAGAACCCAATACCCCTTAATTAAGGAGTATACCTTAAATTATAGGGGCCTTGATATTATGATTTAAGGTATATTCCTTAATGAAGGGGTATTGGGTTCTCTGGGTAAAGCGCCGAAAACTTAAAACGGAGGGAGTCCTGCGCGTAGATGGCAGTTTCGGGAATACGGGATCCTAGCAGAGCAGCCCAAGTAATTGGATCCTTTATCAACAGGACCCCTATATTAGATACCCCTATTTTCTTTGCGCGGATGGTCCTCAGCGACTTTTAGCAGACTGTACCTGGGGGCAGGGGTTGATGGTACAGGATGGAGAGGTTCAGATTCGGGGGCAGGCTTCGCTGATGGATGCGCAATGACTGCCACAATTGCAGCTGCCAGGCACATGTCAGCCAACACCACAGCCATGTTCTCAGCTTCTGCAAACCCTAAACCCTAAACCCTTGATGTTTCGGTTGAAGTTTGAAGCCTTCGACCCCTCAACTCTGCATCTGGTGCTTGAATGGAGTGCTTCCGGGCTGATTCTGCTCCGCTTGGATTTGGCACAGCTCGCAGTACATGTAGCAACACAGCCCCAGGGACCGAAGATTTAAGAATCATAGGGTCATTGTTACAGTAGCTGTTTCAAACTGGGGTTTAGGGTTCAGGGTTTGTAGTAAGTACTGTAGATCCAATATAAGTACCTAGCATGGTCTGCTTCTTGGGCAAGCACGCGACTGCCCTGGATTGTCACACGCCCATACAAGCGGCTGGCTGCTTGAGGTGGTGTTTGTGGATGCTTTCGACGTTCTTTTTCAACGCCCTTTGGAGGACCGGCTTCCACAAGACTCCCAAACCGAGGAATAGTAAACTACAGTTGGAATGCTTTACGGGACCATTTCATAGCGGCTACGTAGCATTTTAAGCCTGGACAACTCGTCAAGCTGGGTATGTGTGCTCTCGTTCCGCTCGGCAAGGGCTTCATCGTTTTTCCCTGTACGCAGTGTATATAGTCTAGTACCCTGGATGGCCAGTAAACCCTAACCGAGTACTGCCATGATCCTAAAACAATTCTATATCGCCGAGTAGTACTCCCTGCATATTTGGGGATCTCAAAGCCCGAGCAAGGTGTACCCCGGTCGTTTAAAGCGGCCTGCTCCTGCAATACCCCTTGAAGGCTGTGGTGCTGGTTCTGCAACAGTCGCAAGCTCGTATTCGAATTGACGATTATGTTCTTGGGGTCTCTGATAGGTTATGCTGAATCTCCCACAAGCATGTCTCACCCAAGAAAGCTGCTGCAGTTTTTATCCCATTGATCCCGTCCACCCCCAAGAACTCCGGAAAAATTGCTGCACGTCCACAAAATACCATAGTAAAGTCTTGCCGCCTGCTCGCCTGCGTCCTGAAGATGCTTCTACACCTTGCATATCACATGCCGCCAAGCAGGATCGCAGCCCGGATTTCCTTCAAAAGTCTAGGCTAGGAACTCAAATTCTCTGTAAGCCCTGGCCTTGGCCCTCTACTATAGGGCTCTGAATAACTACCAGGATTATTCTCTGTGGCTCCTTATTAATTATAACTAAAACAGGCCATAGGCCCTAAACCCCGCTTTCACCCTAAACCCTCGCGAGGAACTCGTTGCAGCCTATGAGCAGATGGCGAAGCCCTCACTGAAGGAATCGGGGTTGACGTTTCAGGGTCTTTAAGTTCGGGGTTAGGTTTTCGGGCTTCTGGGGCACACCCTACATTCATAATGTATATATATATATATATGTGCATATACATACACACATCTACATATATACATATATACATATATATACATATATATACATATATATATATATATACATATATACATATATATATACACACATGTGTGTGTGTGTTTACCCTCGCGGGGCAGCTTTTTTTATATCCTGCCTAGTGCTATATCATGCTGCGAAGCTTGCAAAAGCCATGAATCATACTGAGCATGCTTCGGGGGTGCAACAGTCTTGAATCTCCCGAAAGGTTGAAGCTGTCCCTAAGCGAGGAGCGACTCGGAGAGGAGTATGACGCATGGAGCTTCAATCTCTCATATTCCCCCTCTTCACGCAGTCTCGTTTCGGAGGTTTTAGGGCTTAGAGGGCCTGTGCAATCGGTCATGCGGCCTGTCACGAAGCGAGATACGTGGCGACAAAACGGAAGAATTGGGTCGAGTCAGCTATCACTTGCCTGCCTGCTGGCGCGGCGATGGGCTAACCACAGCGCTAAGCCTAAACGATACAAGCCCTAAAGCTTAGGCTTCTGGAGTTGAGCTATAAGCGTTGTGGTGGCTTTCAGGCTTTGCAGCTCGGGAGCGATCTGTTCCATGCTTTGGAGTCTCTTGGCTTTGGACCCATACACCCCAGGCCCCGAATCCTAAACCTTAAGATAAAGGGTTTAGGGTTTAGGGGAACTCTTACAGCCACGCGTATAGTCTCTCAACCAGGAGCACGGGTTCTGGCCCATCATCTACGGCGGTGTGGGCGTCTCAGTCCCTTGTTGCACCAGGCCCATAGGAGGAAGAAGTCTGTCTTAGTTTTGGGTTTTGGGTTGGGGGAAACCCCCCTGACTTGGGATAGGGTTTCGGGTTGTAGGTTTGAGTTTCTAAACTGTTGTACCCGGTAACCCTAAGCCATGAACCCCGAAGGCCTTGCAAGCAGCAACCTTTTCCGGCCTTGCCGTGGCAGCAATCCAGCCCATGTGGTCGTGGGGTTCAATGTTCGTTTCGATTGTGTCTAGAGCTTGGATATGTGAGATTTGCAAGTCAACCCATAGTTGCAGCAATGGCAGCTGCCACGGTCCGAAAGCCTTGCAAGATCAAGGGTTAGTTTGGCAACCACCGGGGTTCCGGCAGTACTTGCCATTTGAGGTTGGCAGTGCTGGGTATGTATACTCCCGAAAACCTGCTCTAGTGACCCATTGCTTGTTTCGCGAAATTCTCACTTTTCCCCCTCTACACCCTAAACCCTAAACCCCCAGCCCGATGTAGACCCTCACCGCTTTCCCGCTGCCGGGCTCGCTAGGAATGTCTCGGATAGCAGATTTCATTTGAGGGTTCCCTTTCACCTCTCTAAGCGATCGACGCCGGGTTCTCCAGTTCCTGCAATCTCTTGGCATTGTTCGTGTCTCTTCTACAAAGTATTCTACTATCCTGAACCATTGGGAAAGGGATCCCTTTCTTAAGGAGAACCAGGCAGCCAAAGCAGCGTCGTCTCTTTCCATTCCTGCCCCCCCAAGCCTCAAAGACAATCGCTGCCCCCGGAGTATGCGAGCATGGGAGAGGGGCCCTAAACCCTAAACCCTAAACCCTAAACCGTGTTCGGTTGGGTCGCAGCGCTCGGGCTCTATGATTGACGGTTTGGATGTGGTGAAATCCCAACCCCCTGCTTGAGACCCGGTAGAGCCCAATACACCTCTTCAAGGTATATACCGTAGACAATAAGGCATTCCACGTTTAACATCCTACACTACTTCGGGGGGGTTCCTTATTATATACCCCCAAAATTCCTGTTCTAATCATTTAGGCCCCTATATTCGTTTAGTTCGACTTGGGGCTGGACCAGCCGTTCCTTCGGCATGTTGCGCTTCCTGCTTCCGTTACTTTGTCATTTGGCACTCGGAACACTCGGTGATGATGGAGCATCTCGGGAGCCGATGGTCATCGCCGAGGAGTGGGGTACGTGGGCTCCCCACCGTTTTGGTAAAGGGTCTTCAAGTTGTGGGATCTTTGGCACTCACACCCAGAGAACCCAATACCCCTGAATTAAGGAATATATCTTAAATCATAATATTAAGGCCCCAATAATTTAAGGTATATTCCTTAATTAAGGGGTATTCGGTTCTCTGGACATCTCGTCGAGGAGGGCGACGGCGCGGAGGCAGCCTTAGAGCTGCTGCAGATGAGAGGGACGGCACGAAGCCTCGGCCTTCAGCATGCCGAGGCCGGGTTTAGGGGTTAGGGGTTTCTGGTTTAGGGTTTAGGGGTTTGGGGTTTAGGGTTTAGGGGTTTAGGGTTTAGGGGTTTGGGGGTGGCTTGCAGTATAGTAGAAGTCCAAAAGTTGGAAACCCCAATGCCCCTCATTCCGTAAGAGAGCAATGTATATAGGGAATCCCCTCACTAGTTGTCAAAATAATCCGGTTTCCAACTTTTTGGGGGTTTACTATTGGGCGACTACTCGTCCCAGAATGTTCAGATGCGCTCTCTTGTGAAGGTGGGTGTGAACAGCTCCCATCACGAGCTCGAACGCACGGAAGGGCTGACGAATGCAGCCTCCTGCAACTTTGTCTACTGTGCCCACCATTCGCATGACCGCCGTTGTGAGCATTACCGCAAATGTGTCCAGAGCCGTCGCCGTCGCCGCGGTCGCGATGTCATCCCGAGACACAAGTACTATTGCAGCCTTTTCCACGGATACCTGACCGACCCGACCGTGAAGTTTACTGGCTCCGAGGAGATCCAAGAAGGATGGCACCGAGCCGAGGATTGGGATTGGATGTGGAGCGCCGCAAAGAAAGGCGGATGCATGCTAGATGGCCAAGGCCTCCAGCTGGGCTGTGCATTGCTGTGCAACCCAAAATGCAAGCGGGGACAGGACCAGTTCCACATCCATAATAAGCCCTTGAGCCCCGATGGCCAGACGCTTCAAGCTTACCTTCATGAGAACGTTTGCAGCGGAGTGGGCTGGCTGCAGATACCCTCCTATGCAAGCTACTGCCGCAGCCGAACCAAAAACTACGCAAAGTTCTTCCACCACTTCCCAGCAGTGTTTAGCAGCGTGGAGGATTCCGGTTATTTCCGTGACCGCGGCGGTATTACAGTTTGGCCAGTTTCGCAGAACTTTGGATGCCACCAACGTGGCTATGTTCTGATGCTTTCAAACTGCAACATCGAAAAGGATATCTTTCCGGAACGCTTGAGGTAAGCCCGTGATGTATGCGACCTCATTGCAGACGTTCCGTGAGTTCGGGACGCTGGGTGTTTTTTTTCTCTACGTGGAACTGTCCCCTTTCCGGAAGGCTGCTTCTTCGATTTGATGCTGGCCACGTCAGGATTGAGCCAAACTTTGTCCAACATCACCAATGCATAGTTTACTGCAGTACAGTAGTAAATCCAGGCAATTATTGCTCACAACGATTGGTCTTTATTTTCGAGTTCGTATGTTGCACATTAAATAATGGCACGCAGCGATGGTTCTCTCCTGGGCTACTCTGCCTGGCAAGGCCATGCAATGACAAGTGCAGAGCGGAAATTCCCAATGGCTCGCTGTATGCTGCAGACCAAAAGGAGCCAGCGTCCCGAGATCCAACCACCCGCAAACGCCCGGTAGTCTGTCACATCCAAGAGTGCTTGCAATGAGAAAAGCACCATAAAAGCAAGGAGCAAGCTTTCTTGATGGCTGGCCAAAGCCCCTGAATCTTGCAACCCTGAGCCCTTGAGGCTTGGATCTTAACCACATTCCCTGTGAGATCCTGCATCTTTGCCGTCATAGCCTAGCATCCCCCTAAACCCCTTCGAACTGTTAAGGCCGCTATAGAAACCCAAAACTGCTACATCATTCATACTTCATAGAACCCTAACTACTAATTACAACGCCCCATATACGAACTATTTTTCAAACGGCGATTCTTGTTGAGATCCCTTATACATAGTTCGTATATACAACCTATGTACGTATATGTCGGTTTGAATCATGTGCGTAAGTAACTCTCTAAATTAGGATTACTTTTACGGTTCTGTTTTAGAAGATTGCCGTTGTATTTTTTGGGAACCCAAACAGGACCCTTAACTGGGAGACCTACCCATCTACACCCCTGATAGTATCCTTCTAGAAACCCCTATAGACCCCCGTCAAGGAACCCCAAAAAGGGGACCCTACTTTATAGAACTAATATAGAAGCCTAAATAATCATTACCAATACTATTTTGTGGGTTCCTTATTATTAATTATCGTATAATATACCCCCCCAAAAAAAAAACTATTCCTATTCTAATCATTAAGGCCCCTACGCTACCCGCAAGGACGTGAACTGCTGGCCATTTCCGCACAGCGGTCGGATCCGGGTCCACCGCTCCTTGCCTGGTGGAGGCTCAAGCTCAACCGCTTAGGATTTGGGGGCTTGAGGGTTTCGGTCCTTAGGTGTATACATACATACATGCATGCATGCATGCATGCATGCATGCATGCATGCATGCATGCGTGTATGTATGTATGTATGTATGTATGTATGTATGTATGTATGAACGTATGTATGAACGTATGCTGAACGTATGTATGTACGTGTGTACGTGTGTACTTGTATATATACATATATATATATGTATGTATGTATGTATGTATGTATGTATGTATGTATATATATATATATGGTGTGTATACATACTGTACATACATACATACATACATACATACATCCATGCATGCATGCATACATACATACATACAGAATCATACAGACAGACAAAAATAGTCACTGACTTATTTACTTATAATTATCTACTGACTTAGATATTGCT